TTTGTGTTGAAACATTTAAGCGTCAACTGAGTTGCCACAAGGTCATCCCACACCGAGTGGATAGGTAGAAACTAATCCTTTAGAATTTTGCTATGGAAAATCACCATAGCCAGCACAATATATTTTTTCTGCGGACTACCAAAGACTGACGATGTGTTGGATTTGTTGTATCTCTGGTTGTACTATCTGAGTTACCCTCTGGTAATCAAGTCCGGCAATTGGAAATCCCCTATGGAATGGAACATCATCTATAAATAAGCGTTTGATTTTTCATTGCCATGTTTGATTACCAGGGAGTACCTGGGATATTGCAGATTGCTGTCTATTGCAATGTGGGAGTCCCTAGTGATGAATTAGTCAGTATAATGATACCAGTGGCACTGGTACGAAGCAACGCTCCAAGATGAACGTCCCCCTCGAACGAACTCCTGGTGACGTGCGGAACTGGATCTTTTCAACTCAAGAGTTGGGTCCCTTTTTGGGCTCATTTGACGATTTGGCTTCTTGCGGATTAGTGCATTCCAAACCTAGGGAGTATACCTAGCCATTAGCCAGTATAATGGGATTGTTCAGTTCGACTAAAAAATTGTCTCTGCATGATGGACACGTGTTTATGTATATACAATGTGGTGCCTCCACTTAAAGGTCGGTTTGTAATTAAACACATCAAACATATCAAATCGTATATATCTGTACTTAAACCCACAATAATAAACCACCTACCAAGTTTATCCACATTTTCTAAATAAGGGGCATTACACTTTGTGTGCGTGTGTGGTCCGTGCTCTTCAATCCCCTGCAACGCATGGCCTACGCAGTACTCACAAGTCTAGCATGGTTCCTACAATGCGGTGCCCCATAGTTATATAAGTTGGTTTATAAGCCCCAGTAACGATAGTTATAAGTACCATAAACCATTGTTATTGGAGTTATAAACCAACTTAGCTATCTTGGGGGCCTCACATTCTAGACTTTTGAAGATTTGGAGTCTACCTGGCCTATTCGAATTTTCGCTTGAGTTTGCAAGCTCAAGATTTGCCCCATGACCGACGCCTTTGGAATGGTGTTTGCTTCAGCTGTGGTGTTTGTTACAGAGGTATTTGACCATATATACATGTCGTTTGGAGGCTGGTCAATGTAGAAAAGGAACTTGACTCAGCAGAATTGGTTTATGTGTCCTAATGTAATCTTATGTAATCTTAATCTTATGTATGTGTGTGCCATCCGTGTTTGGGGTTTTCAGCGTTGCTGTAGACATGCCAGCGCTTGGCAGAAGTCTCTGTAAAAGTATCAACACAGTCACCCATTCGTCCAGGGTCTGTGACGGGGGTTTTGCAATAGCAGGTGAGGGCAACCCATGGTTAAGCCATGATGGTAAATTACCATCACTAGTGTACATTTGCCAGTGATTACCATAACTAAAATGGTGAATATGACAACTATGGCGCTCGCTCCCACCATGGAATAAGCTGCAGAAGTCTTGACACGGAGTCCCAATCAGTGGGGGGATTCCCGAACCGGGCATGCGGAGTGTCTGAGTTCCCGGCTGGAACACCCATCCGCAACTTGGGAATCTGCAGAATCCGATCCAGAATGCTTGTGATCAACAGAAAACCCCGGACCTCATCCCGCAATGGAGCTGGACAGGCCAAGATTCCGATCTCTTTGAGGCTCGCTAAGGTGAAAGGTGAGATCCTATAAGTGGTCTTCCACCTGTAAAAAGTTGATGATCAAAGCCGCTTCCCCAGATGGATTATAGCCGGGAGTGACCAAAGCTACCGATCTGATCCCACCTTTCAGTGGTTGACCCAATGTATGACCACCATCCCCAAGTGATCAGCATTTCTATGGGTTCCCCAGTCATGGTATGACATTGGGTTTTCCTCCAGTATTAGGTGATTGATCCCATTGGAGCAAGCATTATTCACCAAGCATTACCCTCCGGTAGTTTAACATAGCTATTGAAAATACCCCATGTACAGGTGATTTACCCATTTAAAATGGTGATGTTCCAGTTCGCTTTTTGTACGTTTACCAGAGGGTAGTCCACTAATAATTACCCATTTACAGTTAGAAACCTGATTGCATGGTGGTTTCAAACATTTTTTCTTTTCCATAATATATGGGATAATCCTTCCCATTGACTAATATTTTTCAGAGGGGTAGGTCAACCACCAACCAGAAACCCAAGCAGTTGCCGCAACGTCCAACCCAGGTGCTTCAGCATAGCGAGTTGCATTGTATGATGCCACCCGCCTTCCTGTGCCTGGGCGAGTTTTTTCCGCCGCCCTTTGTTGAAGCCGCCCCAAACGTGTCATCAAAGGTGGAAAATGTCCGAGAAAAATGGAGAGTTATGGGAAAGTATGGGAAATGATAGGGAAATCCATGATAAACATTATATATCCAGGTGTGAGTGGGAAAATCATCGAACTAAACGCGTGATCTTCCAGCAAGCATGTTTGATTACCGGAGAGTAAAGAAGATGAACCACGCTGGGGCCCCCGTTGGGGAATTGTTTGGAAATGACAGCAAGTACCAAACGTGGATCATAAAAAAAACACGGTGCAATAGCAGCGTAATCAGAAGGTCGGGGAGTTGGTATGGCAAAGCTTGATATACCCAAGCAAAAAGGGCAGCTGGGCAGCTAGAACACATAGACTGTCAACAGTTTTTTCTTGGGGTCTGGTTTAAAACAGAGTTGTTTTTTATTTCCGACCTCTTCCTTGAGACATGTTTTTTCGGGGTCCTTCCGAATAAGACCATGATGTTTGTTGTGAGTTGAAACTGACAGATACCCTCCGGTAACCAAAAATGACAAGAATATTCTTGTTTTTGTGGATATTATATAATCATACTTGTTTTTGTTGAAACAACCATTGGGCTTTGTCATTGCCATATTTGATTGAAGCTTACGACGATTATGTGAAACCTACAGGAAGGGCCCCGAATGTGATAGTTGTTTTTCTTTTTTGAACCTGCAATGGATACATGTCTACCATGCACCACACTTATCATAGCCAAAACCAACTTACCATTTTTGGGGTCAATTTCCTGCAACTAGACGAAAGGGGCTTACCCCCTGTAAATAGTCAAACGTGGCATTGGAAGATCCACCATTTATAGATGATTTTCCCATTGAAACCCACGGTTAATTACCATATGTTTCCTCTATTTCCCAATGATGTCCCCCTTGTTTATAGGGGATTTCACCATTGAGACGTTTGATTACCAAGGGTTATTCCTAAGGCATTTGGGCATTGGCAACGTCACTGTGCGTGTGGTGATGCGAGACGACCGCACACGGGAGAGCAAGTACTTCTTGGAAGCCGCTCGGTGGTGAAACCCACGAGAATGGCGGGAAGATACTGTTGCAACTCATGTGGGAAACCCTGGCTGCTATAAACCTACCATGTAACATTTGGGCCATTTGGGGATGGTAGGAGCATTTTTTTGGTGATTTTGGGGATTGCTTATTATTGGGTTTCCCAGGTTCAAGGGATCATGCAAATGAACAAACAATGTGTATCGTTTTGGCATGTAGTCATGGTTTGGTTTCAAACTATGTGAGTCTTGTTCAACTGCAGACGTGACAACACAGACAATATCAGCAACAACCATGTTGGCCGATGGATATATATAGAGAGAGAGAGTAAATACAGGAACTTGTTTTCTGTAGTTGTTCATTTTTAAGACCTACCATGTAACGGCTTCACCCTAGCCCACAGCTGTAGAGACGTGACTTGATAGTGAAGACAGTCAAGAGCCCAGAGTTGGTGCTCAGTATGAGAGGAGCTGTGTGGTATGTTTACAGTATATGGTTCAGGTTCACCATGGACATCCCATAGATGTGATTATAAAAAACTGGAATCCCATGGAATCCTTGCGATGCACTTGTATGTTTTCCATTTTTCCCGGAAATTCTCAACAAAACTACCCTCTGGTAAACTAACATAGCTATTGAAAATGGTCATTTATAGTGGATTTTCCCATTAAAAATTGTGATTTTCCAAAGTTATGTAAGCGTTTACCAGAGAGTAAGACAAAAAACTAAGACAAAAATCCAATCAATCCGTGGGGATTCATGCCCACTCCCTCAACACCCATCAACACCCAGCCACCCCAGTTGTGTGTGTGATGTTTTATTACCCCATATAACTACAGCTGTATGTATTCCCCAGAAATAAAATAATTCCAATCGTTTATCTAATTATAAACCAACTTGCATTTTATATTTGTATACATATACTATTATTGCTTATTGAATCCCAAGGTTCATCTCTATAGTAATCTTATTGTTGTCATTGCTTAAACTTATCTGTTTGGCTTGTTACATCCACCAACACCATGGTTCACCTATCGCTTTGGACTCCGTCCATCACTTCGAGGAGCGGGAGTTTTTCCTGGCCTTACGTGAACGCCCACCCGAGCCCATTGCGGCTTGGCTTGCGTAGCATCGCGGTGAGGCCCCGCAGGGACATGTTGGTGTATAAACCCTTCCGGTAAAAAACCACTAACCCATTAACCAAGTTATGTACTGGTTGATGGTTTGGAACATTTTTTATTGTTCCATTTGTTGGGAATAATCATCCCAACTGACTAGTGACTAATATTTTTCAGAGGGGTTGAAACCACCAACCATTGTAAGTTGTCTGATGTTGCCACATCTAGACTTCACTATACCTACCATAGACCCTCGTTGACCAAATTTTGTACATCAACTTAGCTATCGTTTGTGGGTGTCACGTTGTACAATAACCCCCATCATTCGGTGGTTATGTTAACGTCTAGTCCCAATTCCCGTTCATATTAAACAGCCCCAGAAACCATGCTTTAGTAGGGGATGAAACATGACGAAACCAGATCTTTGGGACCATTTAGAGAGTATTTATGGGAGGGTGGGATTAGATTTGATGGATTTTGATGGTAAGATCTCCATTTTGGCTGATTTTGATGGTTCAATCTCCATTGTGTCCAGCATATTTCTGACCAAGGTGCGACCCATGGACGTTGGCAGCATCTCGCGGCATGTGGATTCGGATTTCCGCAGGCATGTGGGGAGAATTTTACACCCAGGAGCCATTAACAACGATGATTGGGATTTAACTATCAACTGTAGGGGTTCTATGCAGTTCAACTAATTATCCAAGATATAGGCATATGATTCATATGATTGATCAGTGATCATTGGTTGGTTATAGTATAGTTGTCATTTTGGGTCTTTCTATATGCATCTGTATACCTGGTTCATTCCAAATATAACTTTATAACGGATTCATTTCAATTTTGATTGCGAAACATTTCTAAAATGGCCAAAGCCTTTCCCTGCAATTGCTTGCAGGCTCACGCTGTAGTGATCGTAAGTTTGTGATGTGTGGCTCATCCCATCTATAAATTAGTGAGCTAAGTATATAGCTATTTCCAGGTTAGACCGCACCAGTTATAAGTTGGTTTATGAATCCACTAGCTACAAGTATACCCTCTGGTAAACGTTTACATAACTACGGAAAGATCCACCATTTTCAATGGGTAAATCCACTATTTCGACTGGGTCATTTTCAATAGCTATGTAGCAAATTACCAGAGGGTAAATCACCAGACAGTTCCATTAAATCCCATTAAATCACCATTAGAACCCATTAAAATCACTATGAAAATCACCATTAATCAAGTGTTAAATTACCAGAGGGTATCTCCCATGAAGCCGCCCATGTCAGGTTCATGGGCCACCTGCCCAACAGCTCGGAGCCAGAGATCACCAACCTGACTGCGGAGGCGCCGTGGGGAAGATCTGTCCTGGCAGCCGCTGGCAGCCTGGCAATTTTTCATCAATTTCGTAGAGAACTAGAGAACTGACCAATGGATACTGGATCATAGTTGGATATACTAGGTTATCTAGGTCTCGTCATCAGTAACGGGTTTCCTGGAAGCTTGGGAATATGATCGAGTGGAGCTGAGACTATACTTCTTGATGAGTTCCAACTCTTTTAATGAAAGGTCAGTCATAGATGAATCTGCAGGAACTACAGGTTCTAGTAGTTCTTGAGATCCATCATCGGTCATCATTTGGGGGAGATACGACCAAGAAGGATATCGCCGTAGGCGAAGACTTCATGCTGTCTCCCGCTGGGACAGAGAGACAGGTACCTTTGGACTCCATCAGGGCTGAGCTGGTGAAGTCAGTGGCAGGGACTGGTGAATGAAACACCAAGGGTATCGGCTTCTTTGCAGCAGCTTGGGAGAGGATTTGGCAAAGAAGGGGCCCAAGACGCCCAAGCATATCCAGACACTTCTGGATTTGATTGATGGGATTGGGACTGGGAACTCGCTGCTGTTTGGAGTTCATCTGCGGTCAACGCCTGCATGGATTGACAAGGCATCTGGCTATGATGTGCTGGAGGGCGGCCTATAGTGCTGTTCGAACCTGTGACCGCATACGATTGTGCACGCATGGTTCTCAGGCGCCAGCCCTTGCCACAATGAAGACAGACAATCTTGCAGTGACAACAACCCGGTCCGCCTCATTGTCCAAGACAGCACTGGAGGAAGCAGGGGGGATATATATATATATAATTATATATAATATTAATTATATATATATGCATATCTGCGAACCAGTTTGTTTGTTTTTTCACAGTATCTGAGATTGGTCATGACTGGCTTTCAGGCAGACCTGTATTGCTTATGTTTTTTTTAGAATTCCACATGGTTGTGTCTGGACCCATCTTGATTGATGAGTACTTTGAGGCTTTGAGGGTAGAGGTACCTGAAAAGATTATGTTTTGCATCTATGAGAATATGCTTACTACTTTCAGTGTAACTTGCAGTAATAAGTCCAGTCCTGGCTGAGTAAGTAGAGGTAATTACTCGCCAAAAGGATATTGAGATGCTACTCAAATGGTATCACCCCAAGTTAAACAGTCCATGGCCCAGTGGTATATTTTTATCATACACATTCAATATATTCAATATACGCATATGTGGACACAAGATGATAGAAGCACACTGCACTGGGGACAATGAAACACGTCCTTGTGTGTGGTTTATATACCAACTATAACATGCGTCTATAATCATATATATATGAATGTATGAACCATCCATTTACTAAAGGGGTACAGGAAGAGGTCCCCAAATGATCATTAAGTTGGTTGAGCTAGCTAAGCAAGCTATTGGATTCATGATGGATACATCTATAGTTATATAAATGGCAAAACCTAAGCCAACAAACACAACTGGGGGACCCCTTGCTGTAGTCATTTACATGTTTTCTTGTTTCAGGGACGCTCACGTTTGTTTAATGGTTTATAACCCTATCTAAGTTAAGTAGTAGCACATACCATATACATGTGTGGGAGGAAGCACCAAGTAAGGTACAACGTGAAGCCTCCCGTTCAGAAGTTGGTTTTTGCACTCATCAACTAGAGTCTGTAGACTAACTCTATAGTCTATAGCCTATAGTTATACCCCCCATAAACCCAACCGTGAAGCAAGTTATGTGCGTCAACGTAGCTAAGTTTATACGCTACCTATGGCGCATCGGTAGTCATCGGTAGTCCAAGCTGGCCACGTTTCCAGCCGCGCAGATCCTACGCTTGGGCGAATTCTGGTGGCCTTCCACCAATTCGGATGGAAGTCAACCATCAAGCACCTTGGCGACAAGGGAGCCAGCTGGGAAGCTGGGAAATCCCCGGGAAAGTCATGGAAAACCCGGTTGGATTTTCCAGCACACCAAATGTTTGATTAGTGGAGGCCAAGTTGGTGAATATAACTCCCATGAAATAGTTCGATATATGTACATATACCTACCATAAACCCAAACGTTGTCGCAGTTTTGTTCACCAACTCAGCTCAGCGGGCAGCACGTTGCTCCCACAATCTGGTAATTCAAGGAGCCGGGACATCCTGGACATCCCCGAAAAACATCTGTGAATGAGGTCTTTTATGCTGGTTGGTGGTTTGGAACCATGGAATTTTATGACTTTCCATATATTGGAAGTGTCATCATCCCAACTGACGAACTCATATTTTTCAGAGGGGTAGGTCAACCACCAACCAGTTATTGGTATGAAGTTTCAAAGGTCCGCCCCATCATGAAACACCTTTCCAAAAAAATAACATGGACATTTACAATGTGGTGCCCCATAGTTATAAGTTGGTTTATAAGCCCCAGTAACTATAGTTATAAGTACCATAAACCATAGTTATTGGAGTTATGTTCACCAACTTAGCTATCGAACACGGGCCTCACATTGTTGGTACGTCCTCCATTTGAAAGGGAGAGTGATCTTCTCATAAAACCGTTGCCGGCGTTGTGTGACGTTACCATGGGATACTCGGATACTGAACGCGCTTGATGCCGGATGCCGTTTTTTTCATCAAGTCTATTACAGAACATGCGATTCAACCACCGGTTTTAAAAGATACAACTTAAATATGTTAAGCGTTCGGTGTTTTTTTTCTTGATGATCTTGATGCCTTTTTTCTCCCAACCTCACTATTTTTGATGGCTTGTATTATCAGACAACATCCCTAAATGGGTTAAACATCTGAGTTGGGAATCGTTAGAAGTCTTGCCTGGTCGCCTGGAAACAAGACATCAGAAACTTCTGTGATTTTCCTATATGAGATGCGGTGCAATTCCACTGCCATGTTGATTTACCAAAGGGTACTGTATATATAATTACTTGCCGTCCTTTCTTGGAAGTTGATGGCTGAAAGTAGCCTTGGGCAGAAGAAATGTTTCTTGATATGTTCTGTCCGTAGGTAATGCAGCATCGCGACATTATCCAAGCATGTTTAGACCCAGCGGCGCGTGATTGTGATATGTGGCGTTCAGATCATTATTAGGAACTTCAGATAACTTCAGCAAGACAATTTTGTTTTGGGGTCCATTATATGGGTATCTGATGTTTGCAGGGTGGGATTGCACACATCATTTGGGATATGTTTGAGGATGGGCTTGAGGTTCTCAGCAGGGTCAGCTTGACACCAAGCCATTGGAATCATCACCAAATCAGGAGGAACTATTCCCTGGGTAAAGGGTAATGCCATGTAATGCCTGCTTTTTTCGTGAGAAAAATAAACATGTTATCCTTAGCCATGGACAAAGATGAACATATCACATGCCATATTGAACATATCTCTTAAGGTATACGTGCGAAACACACATATATCTACGGTTTTCTCGCGAAAGTGTGCACCGCAAGATAGCCACCCACCAGGGAGAACAAAATCACTTCATCGATCCAAGTGTCATGAGTCCATTGAAATACAGGAAGTTCCACCGAGATTTCGCAGCATATCGCAATTTATATACCTGCAAGGTGGTGCCCCCCCGGAATCAACTGCCCTCCCGTAACTTAACATAGCCATTGAACACGGCCCAATTGTATGTTTTTTATTCCTTAAAAATTTTGTGATGTTCCATAGCTACAGTATGTTAGTTTACCAGGGGTATATCAAATTATCAACTATAAGTCCACATCTTTGTCGGTTAAATCACCATTTTTGTTGGTTAAATCAGTTAAATCCTCATGTTTGAAGGTAACAGTAAGGACCTTCTCTAAGCCACACAGACACAGATCACCGAGGTTTTACTCGTATCTCCATCTCTCCGCAACGTGTGCCGTTGGACGGCCTCGACGTCGTCATGCGCACGGTGGGGGGCCACAGGAGTTGTTTTGATTGTTCATTGTTTGGTGTGGTGAATTATACTTAGAATTTATGAACCATAATTATAATCATAATTAATATGGTGAATAATTATCTTAGGATTCAACTTAAGCAATTCACATTCCTGTGGTGTATGGTGGATTCTTCATGGTCATTCTGAGAGAAAAAAGCTCTTCAGCTCTCCAGTTATCAAGACTTACTGATAGTTACTGTATGTTGGTTGAAAAAAAAACATGAACCAACATGAAGTTACTATCCCAGCAGTGAAGTGTATCTCCTGGGATAGTTCATGAATCACCAAGCCATGGCTTTTTTTTCAATCCCATGAAGTTGGTGATTCATCTGCTCCCCAAAGATTCGCCGAGCTGCTCAAACACCCTGTGGCCTCACCTAGGATGGCTTCTATATTCCGCCCTACTCTCGATGTCGATGTCAGTTTGGCACCATTCAGGTGGGGAGACTAGTCGTATCAAGTCGTATCGTCTTAAAATGCTACGTCCAACTGGGAAAATCTTGAAGATCTTTGGGGGGAATACTTGAAATATGTGTTTTTTTTAGGAACCCAAGGTTTAAATCATAGATTTGGGTAGTTTTTCGTAAAGACCAAGTTGAGGGGTTTTCGTTGTGAATGACAGATCAGGGATTTTAAATATCATATTTCTGATGGGTTATATCATGAAACAAACTGTTCAATTGCAATCAACTTCCGATGAACTATTGATTCTGCAGATGCCTCAATGCCTCCAACTCATGTGCACAATTGAAGGTAGAACATGCTGTGTTTTCGGTGTAGAAAGGACGGATACCACGAGAAAATTGAATATGAACATCTATCAAACTCTATAAAGTTAATACATGAGTAGATACACTACAATATACACTAATATCATCTAATATTTAACATTCCTCATACCACGGACAGTAGCTGCTCATTCTGAATGCCGTTCATTGCGCCGTGGCTTTTCCGGGAAGGTGCCGGCCTTTTGCGTGGCGCAGCTGCAAGAAGTGCAATGCAGGCGTTGAAACCGCCATAGAAAACTGGACCAAACCCGGGCGTTGGTGGAAACAAACCTGGAATTTTCGAGGAACACTGGGAGGTGTGTTTCATTGATTCACGAATACTGGTTGGTGGTTTGGAACGTGTTTTATTTTTCCATGATATATGGGAATAATCCTTCCCATTGACTTTCATATTTTTCAATATGGTTGAAACCACCAACCAGAATATGTTCATCCATATTTATATATTTGGCATTCAACGCGAATCCGGGATAAATGTTTGCCACAACATGCCATTGCCACAAGTTGATGGAAATGAAAGCTCTTAACGGTGTTGGACCATCCAATGATTGCAGTTCCCTGCTACATGCCCGTCCCTTGGCAAAAGTCTGGAAACATCCACAGGCACACAAGGTTTGAAAACAAGTGGCGAATCATAATCACATTGGCACATTGGGATGACAATTGAACACCCTGGGTGCTTTGTTTTGTTTTCTTGTTCATTACCCTCCCGTAAGCTAACATGGCTACCTACTAATGGTTACTCAAAATGGTGATGTCTCATTAATCCATTAGTTCTGTTACTAAAAATAGTTATAATTATTGAAGATGACCATTTATAGTGGATTTACCCATTGAAAATTGTGATTTTCCATAGCTATGTTAGTTTACCAGGGGTTAGCATGGTACTTGGCAATGCGGTTGATCCGTTTCTCGGCGCAGGGCCCCGGCAGTGACGGGCCAACAAGCGGTCGCTCGGATGATTTTTTGATGGAACTGGTGGTTTTTCACCTCTGAAGATCCGTAGTGCTTCAGAACCATGGACAGGACATGGATATATATATATATATATATACAGATATACATATATATATATATTTACTGTATATATATATACAGAACCATATATATATATGTATATATATATATATATGATGTAATTACTGTAGACTCCAGATCTTCAAAAGTCTACAATTTGAGGCCCCCGTTCGATAGCTAGGTTGGTGAACATAACTCCAATTTCACTATGGTTTATGGTACTTATAACTATAGTTACTGGGGCTTATAAATCAACTTATAACTATGGGGCACCACATTGTATATATGTGTATATATATATATACATGATGTAATTACTGTGTATATATATATATACATATATGTGATGTAATGTAATGTCATGTAATGTCATGTAATGTCATGTAATGTCATGTAGTGTCATGTAATGTCATGTAATGTCATGTAGTGTCATGTAATGTCATGTAATGTAATGTATATACGTGTATATGGGGTGTTCTTTAAATCAGGGTACCAAATCATCCCAATTTCATTGATTTTAGTGGTAAAACCCGGTGATTAATGGTACCACCATTTAAAGAAAACCCCATATTATATATGTAACTGTATATACATTGTATATGTACGTGTGCATATTTACATTTGGGGAATGCTGGGGCCATGTGCAGCATTTGTTTGCTAGGCATTTTGTTCCCCCAGTTTATGAAGCTATTTCCCAGGTGGTGACCCACAGTTATCAGTTGGTACTGTAGTTTGCAAGCCAATCTAACATTTACATGACTTTGATGTGGGCGGGCGAGAAGCCATCATGAATGGCTTGCGGGCCAAGTTTGTGAGCTGTCTCGATCCTGCCGGTGATATGCGTTACGCGGCGACCTTCACCAATGAGCAGGGACACTGAAGGGGCAGCGTGGAGTACTCTCAGGCCAAGGCTCACATCTCTGCGGAGATGGAGCTCGAGAATTGAGAAGAAAGCCACGCGCGCTGGGACGACCCCCCTGTCCCCAGCCGGCTGCCACCTTAACCCATGAACACTGACGCGCAGCAAAAAGGAGTGCAGGGGAAAAACAAAATCTACAAGGTGGTACCCCCCCCAGTTCTAAATTGATTATAAGCCCATGAACTATCGATATATCACCTATAAACCATAGTTTTTGGAATTTTAAACCAACTTAGCTATCTTGTGGGCACCACCTAGTATGATTAATGGATAACATTCGTTGATGACTACTATCATGGGCACTGCACCCAGGTGCGGGCCCGCTTTTCCATCAACGATGGAGCCACCTGGGGACCCGCTTCTCGGCGAGCGTTGAGCGATGGGAGCAGATGTCTTCATGAAAATCATTTGTTTAAGAAGAATAAATACAGATAAAGACGACAAGGCAATTTTTGCGGTTTCTGGCTGGCTTCGAAGTAATTTTTTTTTGGTGTTATTTTGCTTATAATTGGGAGAAGTGAAGCCAAGCCAACTTGGATTTTGAACGAGATTCGTGCCCGGGCCCGAGGCCTCCGTGAATGCCATTTGCTGTTTCTCCACGTTGCTTCTTCCCTATGTTTTAGTTGACAACCGTGGCATTCCCGATGAACACAGAATGTTCTGCCAATCCATATCTGTTTTCAGTGGTCAAATGGAAAGAGACAAAGACCTGGGCTTGTTTTAGGATGTTTATCTTCAAAATATCACAAATGTATATATATATATATCATATATCGTATATAGTTGTCATACATAGGGATATTTGTCTCTATCTCTCTCTATATATATATAATATACATATTCATGGAAAATATATCCACAGCTTGTTTGTTTCTTCGTGGGGTCCACGAATCTTGGCAATCGGTGTTCATCTTTTTTCGGAGTTCCAGGATGGCCTGGCTGACCTGGCTGACCTGGCATAGTTGTAGATGACAACCAGAAACGGAGGCTGAAATCCCCATCGATTTCCGCCGGTTCAGGTCACCGGACTCGTTTTCTTTGTCCGTTTTGTTTGTTCATGTCACCCTCTGGTAAAGATGGCCGAGACGATGATGATCGCAAAGATCACCGAGGAGAAGGTGGCAGCAAGGATAGCGATGACAGCAGCAGCAGCTCCTCTGAAGAGAGCGTAGACCAAGGGAGCGTGTTGCCGGAAACGAGAGGCGAGCTGCAATGCAAGAAGCTGTGCCCGGCACCTTCGAAATGCAGCGTCACCGCCTGATTTTTTTCACATGGAACGCTGGCCACTTGACGCGTAGCGGAAGTGAACCTTTCAGTGCCACAAGGACGCACAGCCTACTCATGGAGTACCTGTTCAGCGTTCATTGCCAGATCTTGCTCTTGCAAGAAGCAAATCTTCTGGATGCTGTGACGAACCGGAGGAGTCTGCCGAGCCACCCCTGCCTGGCCAAAAGGAGCTTGCTGAAACGGAAGATGGGGGCCGGCCAGCAGTGACTGAGGGCCCCAACTCAAAAACGATGGAAACCAGCCCCCCAAAGTCAGAATGCCTAAAGCGAGGAGAGCCCAAAGAGAAGAAGGAGAAGAAAGAGAAAAAACATAAAAGCAAAGCAGAAGATGGGATTCATGAAGAGAACACTCATGTTTCCAAGTCTCCAACTTAAGAAAGAAAACCAAACCGAAATATACTGAGAACATTTTGGCGAGTCCACCCAGGGCCCTGGCATAACCCAAAGAGTTTCTCAAGATTTGTCCACCACTTTCAAGCACAGAGCCATCCAACTAACAGTTTGCGAACTGGAAAATGGCAACATAAATAGTGGATTTACCCATGAACCATGGTGATTTTCCATAGTTATGTAAACGTTTACCAGCGGGTAACGTTCGATGTTTTATTTGGTTGGATCCACACTAGTAATCTATCAGAAGAAGTGATCATCAAATGTCATAGTGTTCCTGATATTCTATCTGATTATTATATCAGCCTTCTTGATCATAATCCAAGTATACACCGCTGTATCCCATGTTTATCCCATATGGATATCCTCGAATTCCTTGGTTTCATCCCTCATTGGTGGGTGGTGCCCCCAGTTGCAAGTTGGTTCACCAATTCCATGAACTATTGAATAAACTTCATTAACCATAGTTATCTATAGTTCTATCTACCAATAAACCCCATATACCTGTTACAAAACCAATACATTCCATGATTTCTATATGTTGTCCATGCCACAAGGTGAAGCCCCCCCAATCCTCTTTTATTGGTTTATAAACCCCATTGACTATAGTTTGATCCCCTCAACCAAGTCAACCAAGTTCATGTCCACTATAGTTTATTAACTTATGAACTGTTGGGTTTTATCCCGTCAACCCCATTGAACTATAGGGTTACACCCAACAGTTACCCTCTGGTAAACTAACATAGCTATGGAAAAAAAATGTGATTTTCCATAGTTATCTAAACGTTTACCAGAGGGTAACCAAGTTATGTCCTTCCCGCGAAGTCGTGGGCCTCGACTAAGGATGTAGCTTTCGCGTACTATGCACCACCGCTCTTTGCGGCGTTGCAACCTCCGTTGGGATCGCTGTTGGGGGTGTGCCTTGGTGAATGGTGCCGTTCTGTGATCATCTCTGAGTCGTATTGATTGTTTTTGGTTTCCAATCGATATGGGGCATTTAATGATATGTTCTGCTCATTTCATGATGTATTCTATATACTGTATTTCATGATATGGGGCATTTTTTATGTTCATTTCTAAAATATATGTGTATAAAGTATAAACTCAAAGATTCTACGCACATTTTAGCCGAGCGAACCATGTCCTCGTGTCCGCCTTTTTTGTGGTTGGTGCAATAGTCTCCATGATCTAGAGAATGCTTCAAAAAACATCATGGACCCATGTGCCTTCGGCAACTGATTCATAATGATTCATACTTTGATGTGCATGCCAGTCCTTAATTGGTAAACCACCTTATGTTAGCAAGTGTTTTTTGGTAGATGACGCCGTATAGGATTTTCGAATAGGTGTTGTATGGTCCGTTGTGTTTCCTGGTTTGCCACCCCTTTTCAGCTGCAGGAACAACGTCTCCATCTACATGTTCCAATTCCCCACAGACGACCTGGTGCCGTCTTACTGCCGCTGGCAAGGCGCGGTTCGAACCCTGCGGGGACGTGGTGTATTGTCGGCTTAATCACTCATGGATCAGACAAAAGGCAATGCCACAAAGGTTCAACTAGGTGGTTTAGAACCCTTCTTTCAGGTTAGATTTTGTAATTTTTGGTATTTTTTCCCAAAGAGACGACAATTCCCAACAGCAGTGCCTATTGGGTTTAGTTCAGTATAGTTCACTGCCACCCTTACCACCCATACCACCCATTTCGGCATCTGCCATGGAGCTACCCCCGTCGGGTACCCAGTCGGGTAGCCAGGTACCTTTGTGACCCCCATCTACCCCGGCAGCTCGGATTACATCGTGTGCCCCGTGCCGGCGCACAGCAAGTTTGCACCATACATCCAGGAGGTGCGGCTGTCTTTCGATGGCTGATGGCATGGGATTTTATGCTGGGGAATGGGCCGGGCCCAAGGGATTTCATGCTAGGTGTGGTGGTCGGGGAATGCCCCGTGTTTATCCCACTTTTTGATACTTTTGGTTGGTTGGATCATGTTGGATCCCCGTTTTTTCTTCGTCGTTGCATCGCAACGAACTGTGCGTTCGTCAAAATCCACATTGTTGGTTGATTAAATTTCATGTGTGTTGTTGCATCTGTGGTTTGTTATTTCCAAGACATTTGTATACATGTAGTGACATGTAGGTTGTTTAGCTACGACACTTTTGTTGGTTCAATCATGTTCGATCCCCATTCCACGAATAGAACGCTTAGATATGCTGAAAACAGTTTTGGTTAGGTTTTAAAGGTTAAATCATGTTAAATCATAGTTTTCGGAACGTGCTTATGATTTTTTTCAGTGGATTGGTTCCAGGGAATTTTTTGACCGGAAACTATAGATTTTCCCATTAAGATCCTGGGCATTTCCTGCACAATTTCCCTGAAACCAATCCATTGATGGTTTTGTTTTTTGTTTTTCACAAGTTAGATCCCCTCTTTCCTGTTGGAAGAGCTGCGTTTCGGTGCAGGGAGACGACATGCCATTGACCCTGGAGGTCAGTTTCGCAGGCATTCCCCCGGTCTCTTGGTTGCCTTGGGTCCTGGCGTGGCTTGGATGTGCTTGAAGAAAGTTCGGGATGAAAAATGTGAATATTCACTAATATATATATAATTATATATATATAGTAGGAAGATACTAATCACTTTCGTAATTTACTAAAATTTGGAAGATGCAAATTGTGTTTTGTGATGAGTCCTGGCTCCGTGGCTAAATGCTTGGATATATCTATATACTGGGATACTAACGTTTCAAGTTCCATCAGTGCTTGGGAAGATGCGAGAAATCTTGAAGCTATGATCCAGCGGGACAAGCTTATTGCGTCAGGTCGCCAGATACTCTAATCTGCCTCTGAAGAGCAGAGTCGAGGCCGCACCCAGCCAACCCCAGGTCGGGCAGCGACGGTTGCGACGTGTTGCAACCTTCGCACACTCCCCGTCTATGAACGGCGGTGAAACATGGTGAAACTCGTCAATCTGGCAAGATCGCCACACGAAGCTGGATCAGATCAAGCGCTCATTGCTGGCTACATATTGGGTCTTGTTGTCAGGCCATGTGCAATTACCTACTCCATTGGAGCTGACATTCTGGCATTGTTCAATCAACATACATTGGTGGCAGATGCCGTTTGCCAGGAAACGGGACCACGGATGGCAAACATTGAGAATCCAATCGAGAACAATGCACGCTGGCAATGGAATAGGAAAACATAACCAACCGGAGAAGGATAAAAGACCTTCAACATGTTAAAGATGGAAACATGACGACGAACAAACGGGGAAGAGAGAGAGAGAGAGAACAGAACCAGTAAGGAAAGGGTATAGAATTGAACCGCTGAAATTTCCCTTTTTATTTCCAATCGGACCACCATTTTGATATGCGCCCGGAAAGAGCTGTGATTTTAAGGCAAGGACACAATTACAGTACCTCACAACGATCCTTGTACGTGATTGTTGCATCAGGATTTTCCATGATTTTCCGTGATGCCCATGACACTTTAAACTTGTAAACGTGGGTCGCGACTGGATCCCTTGTGTAGTTTGTGTATCTCAAGGTTTTGATTGCTGAATTCCATGTGTGGGCAAGATAGCCCGGCATGTTGTCAGCTTCAGATCTCTGGGAATTTGCATTGGTTAGGTGAATTTGTTGTTTAGTTCCAAGCCATCTACTGTATGTAGAAATATCATATCACATCCCACTCAATGCCCCTTCTCCGCGGATAATTAAGCTTTCTGATTAAATTGTTTTTTATTCTATATAGTGATGAACTATGTTGAATTGTGTTGTTTTTTTGGATGGGTTATAACATACCCAATGGATCCAAAGCAGCTCCTGAGAAGGTACTTAACCCCCAAATCAAACCCCAAACACTTCCTAAGAAGGTACGGCTGGATCCATATGGATACGATGACATATTGTGAGATATATTCTACTGTAGCCACAGACCAAGTGCTGCTGTTCCCACAAACCCTGCCTTAAGCGAGGTGTGGATCCCCCTACCACGCAGCTTAAACTTCCGACAGCACAACAGCCCGGTGCGCGAAACACAGGAGCCCTTGGAGCGCTTGGCATCGGGCGTAAGGATGCCCTGAAATCGTCGATTAGTAAAGTGATCCCCTGGTGATTTTACCAGACATGGCCAGAAATCATAGAAATAGATTTATGGATTTAGCTACGTACTCAAAATGGCATTAAATGAATTATTGAGTTAAGTGCTACACCTGTTTGAATCCATTTTCCTAGTGGTATTTGATCCGCATATGTGACGGGGGATAAGTTACCGCCTACGTATGTATGCACATCCAAGTACAATGATGTACTTCTGACTGAAGGGCACATACGGAGAACCCAACCTGGCTCCTCTAGGCAAAAGCTCACTTTAGATTCGTTATCACTCCCTTTTTCACATCGTTGGCGCCATCATAGTATGTATATTGTCTACCCTTCATCCTATGTAACTGAATTGCTCGGGGAGAGATAGACTCTACAGTACTAGTACTACTACCTTGTTCTTTTTGCTGTGTATATATATATATAATATGTGTAACTTGGATATACTTGGAGAATAACTCCTTTTACTATCATTCCACCATTTAATCATTATCCCGACCTGGTGCACCACGAAAGGTGACCACATTGACCTAGTCTTTTCCAACCAACTTTGTTGACTGAGACACCACCTCGTAGCATCCCATTCACTTATACACACATATATATATATATAAATATATACACATGTATATATGTATATATATATAATATTTATATACATATTATATCCCAAATGAATTCCCACTTCTGAACAAATATGCCCCATGAAATCCCAGTACCCTTTTGTAGTTTGTTACATAGCTATAGTTTTTGTACCCATAGAAATAGTTGATTTACCATGATTTACCTCTTAAAGATGGTGATTATCCATGATTTTTTGTATGTTTACGAGAGGGTCACCATTTCCCAACCACCGGGTGTCGCACCTCCCACGATTCACAGGAGCTCTTCGTAGCTCCGCGCCACGGTGTGGCCATCAAAGGCGGCGCCGATCTCACGCTGACGGGCTCTGGCTTTGTGTACCCCGCGGCAGCTCGCGCCCATGGGGGGATTATTGGGGGTTGGTGTTGGGGAAAAGGCTGGATGAACTGAGAAAATTGGTGATTTCATAGGTCTTGCATGGATTTTCACCAGCAAACATGGTGATTTAATACTGTACACTGCGATTCTCATAGGATCCAACGAGCAAGAATTGCCATTTAAGGAGAATTTGATGGTATTTGTGGGATTTAGCCAGCGAAAATTGTGATGTAATTAGAATTCATGGAATTCAACCAGCACCAATTGGGACTTTAACATCAGAAATAGGGATTCACCATGATTTACCAGGTGCCTCACCTGGGTTTATGAGCCAGGTCACTTCAGATATCTACCATAAACACAATTGATCTACATATTTAAACCACCTCTGTCAACTATAGGGTCATCACCTTATCTCACTTTGTGTGGAGCGTGTGGCGTGTTGGTCCGATATTAGAGTAATGTGGCAAAGCCAGTCCCACAAACTCTCTAAGTTGGGATGATTTATGATCGAGTTTACCACAAACGAGTTTGAGCGATACCCTTAAATCTGATGGGGAACAATATATCGTTTCCCGTACAACCAATTAAGTGATTATTTTCACTTTCTGCTGTACCCCGATTTAAGGTAAACCGCTCCTTGGTGGGCTGTGTCTTCGGTCGCTGGTACTTCTCGCCGGGCGAGGTGCGACAGATGGCGCAGGAGGGTGCCTCAAAAATGGCAGGTGGCACCAGTTTCCCAGAGATATTCTATAGTTGATGATTTTGATTCATGATTCATGATAGCTAAGTTGGATTTTGTTTCGATTAAGCTTCCTCAGGCAGGGCGGTGGTACCAGTGTAACCAGCAACAAAGATCACCGAGTGGTTTCACTCCCATGATAGGTTGCTGTTTCCCTAGTCTAGTTGATATTATCAACCGCCAACCAGTCATGTTTAAAGAATTTGCTTCTGATAGCGAAATCATGGTTTCATAGTTAAACCAAGCATAAATCATCCCCATTTGATGTATCGCTGGGATTTACTACATGTTTCTTCCAAGGTTCATTAAAAACCCTAAACTCAGATCTATCTACCAGAAACGAGATAACTAACCTAGCTACAAACCAACTCAACTCAGGTTTGGGACCCCACCTTGTGGTTATAGTTATTCATGATATAATCAAATTCTATCCAACCCAAATGATCTCATTATGTCCCATTAATCCCATGTTGTCCCTGATTTCTCACTACTCCCACTTTTATCCTATGTGTATCCCATTTTTGGCAATCTCATGTTTTCATGCAAGTTACCCATTTATCATATGTATAATTCTTGTGAATCATTAAACACCTGGGAGATCCTATAACATTTTATAACTCAAAAAACCCATTACTTAAACATTGCCTGTGTTATATCATGGTATTAGTGCCATTATATATCCAATTATATCCCAATTACCATCTGGTAAACTAACATAGCTATGGAAATTCACAATTTTTAATGGGAAAACTCACTATAAATAGCAATTTTCAATAGCTACGTTAAATTACCAGAGGGTAATCCCAATGATTCTCCAGTGTTTTTTTGAATTCTTCCCCGGCCATGGCGTTGCCACGAATCCAGGTCAAGAGCGACACGGAAATGCGCTGCCGCGCCCCGTCGCTCTTCGACGTTTTCCCGGATGCACAACCGCCCATGGAGACTTGGCAACGCTGAAATCCGGAAAGGCCTATGGAAATGGCGCTCTAATGGAATTGGAAGGCGGGTTCCACCAGCAAACATGGTGATTTCACGGGATTTGACAAATTTGGTGTTATGGCTCATGGGTAATAAGTAATAAGCCAACAAACTGAAGTAGGGGGCACCACCTCTTGCCATCAACCGCGAATAGCCTTGACAACCCTGGCTGACATGAAAGTGGGTTCCTTCAGTGCAAATGGAGCTGACTCATCTCAAAACGCTTGTTTTTTTTCCGCTTGTAGGCCCCTTACTGTACAAAGGGAGTTTCAGGAATCCCTTGCATGTTTGAGGCAACGTGCCCAGTTCAATGGCGGATGGTTCCACCCAATACGGTGTGCTCAAACCACTGCTTTGCGATGTATTGGATCTATTCATTCGACCCTAATGGCGGGGATGTTTAGAATATCCGGGAATTACCTTATAACGACCTCACGTCGCGACCGAGCCCTGGAATCATGGTGAATGTATAGGGAAATCCTCCCCAATTGGCCGCAAGATTCAGGTCAGTGAAATATTATAATTTACCCAGATGTGTAGAACGAATTGACTCTTGATGTTCTTTTTGTTTCTCCTACCTATCAATTTAATCAATGAAATCTGTTCGAACCTTGATATTATTGTTTTTCATGGCAAGACATATGCTGACATTATGAATTTCTCCTGTTGTCATAGACTATAGGTGTCGGGTTCCAATTGGCATTGATGGACGGATGGATGGATAGATAGATAGAGGGATAGAGGTAGAGATGGAGATGAACAATGGAGATGGAGATAGAGATATAGATATAGATAGTCATTTGCAATAACAGTCCAGAAATTTCAATAGTACTTCTAGTACTTCAGAGACCGCCCAGACGAAGACATCCAGGATGTGACTATCGATCTGAGTTTCGATGGTGGACAGACCAGCACCAATCTGAACAACGTCTACAGCTACCTTAAGGACTTCCAGCCCCTGGGCAACACACGGAAGGAGAACGGACGGAGGATGGGATCCCAACATGTCCCAACTCAGAACATGTCCTGGTTGAAACTAACTTGGTAACCAGCTAAGTTTACAAAACTATGTGGTAATTTTCATAATATATATATAATTATAATATATATATATAAATTATATAATATTTTTATATATATATATATACATACTTATTTATTTCACTTGATGTCAATCTATGTCATGTTTTTGAATTTTGAATCTGAGGGTCCTACCCTCGTAACTGGGATATGCCTGATCGTCACCTCTTGCTACCACTAGTGGCATGATCCTGGACGACACCTTGGTGTGGCATGCATCGGATGCGGTGAGGTTTTTTGATGCTGTGTCGGCTATGCTGATCCCCTTTCATCAATGAGAATTCCAGGATCCTAAAATGGAGGTACTGTACCATATAAGGCCATATTTTTGGGGAATATCCCCTTACATAGCCCTTATATAGGCCTTATATATGGTAGGTACCTCCATTTTAGGATCATGAAATTCCCATTGATTTCAGAATGCTAAAATCGCTTAAATCATGTCACAACCATATCTGTTGAAGGTAAAACGCCAGCATCTGTGAGGAGAACATTGCTGGTATCATTTTCGATGGTGAAACACGGTAAAACCACTGAGTTACCAGAAAAAACACATGTTTTTTTTTTAATATCTATCTATCTATCTATCTACCTATCTATCTATATCTTGCCGCAGCCCATGGTTCCCAGGTTCGAATCCGTGCTGCCTTCTGGTGGCCTCTACAGTTCTCTGGCACTGAAAAAGGGCTCTTTTGGGGGGGGTGCAACCCCTTACCGTCCGGTAATTCTATGGAAGTCTATGTAAAATGGCCCAATTTAACAGTGTGCCATGGAAATCTATCGGCAATGGATGAAAATGGTCCATGGTTCCATCATTTAGCTAGTATATCGTTTTACAGGTGGTGATTCTCCATTTGCTATGTTAAATTTTCCAAAATTGTATGTTCATGTGATTTTGGTGATGAAGCAATGGGCTGAAGGTGGCGCCCCCCAGTTATGTTTGCTGGTTCTAAGCCCATTGCAGGAACTGTGGAGATGCCAGAAACTACTTCCGTTTCAAACGGGTAGACAAGTAATTCCAAGATGTAGATCGATGATGTCAATCAATGAAAATTCCAGATTTCCAAGTTTTCTGATTTTGTTGGGAGGTACTACAAGATTAATATTCTAGGTGTTGGTATCAAACCATGATTACACGTGGTGATATCCGATCTTGATTATAACCATGATTACATATATTTATACTTCGAACTGCGGCCTCCAAGCTGGCCACACTGGGCAATAGACAGAAACACGTCCAGATGGTGCCTATTCTATCCATGTCTATCCTGCTCAAAGTACCCCCTGATCATTTCACAGTTAGCTATGGAAAATTGCCAATTTATAGTTGATTTATCTATGAAAGATGGTGTTTTTCCAGTTCGCTATGTTAGTTTGCCAGAGGCTATTCAAAACCTCTTAGATTACATAGCTATGGCATTTTTCCATAGCAAACTGTAAGACATGACCGGAATGTGAATCATCGAACTGAATAGGCATAAATAGCTTCACAGCTTCTATGGTGAATGCCCTGGATTCCAAAGCTATACTTGATAAATAGTTGCAAATATATGCTGGTTAGTGGTTTCAAACATGTTTTATTGTCCATTTCATATATGGGATGTCATCCTTCCCATTGACGAACTCCTATTTTTCAAGATTGTTAAAGCCACCAACCAGTATACCTAGAACAAATCTATGTCTCTCTCACTCTCTCTCTTGGGCTGTATACTTGAATATGTTCCTTCTGTTTGCAGAGGGTTTTTTTCCACTTGTTTATATTGTAATCCGTATTCCGGACGACATGCCTGGCACTGGGATCAGTAAGGCAAGACATGGCAAGACATGGCAAGACATGGCAAGACATGGCAAGACATGGCAAGACCGGGACCAGGTACGCAAACGTTGGCGACGTTGCAAGGGAAGAACTTCAAGCGAACTCCCAACATCTTCCTGAAATTTGGTGACATCAAGGCTGGAGATGTTGGAAGATTGCTGGATTTGGGACCATTACTTGAAAAATGCTATTTCGGAGCCTTGGGGCCTTGGGGTGATTTTGAAAGATGAGACTTGTTCGCAACACGTTTTACAAGGATAGCTCCAGCATTTTATTTTGATCAGCTGGTGCTTGCAGATCTGTTTTGCAGCATGTTCAAACAGCATTATATATTGTATATCGTTGTATATTGTGTTTATCATTTTGCTGCTGCTTGACAGCCCAAAGTTTGCAAAGCGCTGGAGGGAGAACTAGGTGTCACTAGGTGCCAATACTCCACGCTGTGGAACCAATGGCCTGCCACAGTTGGATTTGGTGGCATCATTGATGATCCTCTGGTAAATTAACACAGACCCTGAAAATTACTGGGTGGTGGTTTCAAACATGTTTTATTTTCCATAGTCTATGGAATAATCCTTCCCATTGACTCATATTTTTCAGAGGGGTTGAAACCACCAACCAGATTACTACTTTTTTTGAATGGAAACTCATCTTCCATCCCCGATGACTGGCAGGGTCTATATGTTAATTTACTGGAGGGTATCCATCAAGAAATCGCCCTCTACATGTATTTTGCCTGTAATTATGGCTACATGTGTGTTTCACAGAATTGAGATTCAGGGTAAACGTGATCAACAACTTGAACAATAAAACGGGTCCCCCGCTTTAAGAAATCCCTATATATCATGAATCACCATTGTCAACAAACCCTATAGGAGGTTAAACTGTGGCCATTGAGTACCAACCACCACAGTAGGCAACGATTCGCGTGCCTTGTCGGAATAAATGAAATAAATAAACAAGTCCTGGAATATACATATATATATATATGTATTTATTTATGTGTATATTTAAATATACTATATTTATATTTTCATATATATATACATATATATACATATTTGGGTTATGCACATACTCCAATTGGTAGTTGATCTATCTCATCCCATCGCATCTAATCTCGTCTCAGGAGCAACTTCCAAGGTGTCCTCCAAATCTGTAGCTGGTCCGATTTCTTCGCTTTAAATCCATCGCTAAATCCCAGCAATTGAAGTTAAAATTTGTTTGTTTGGTTTCAGCCAACAGAAACCAAGAGAAACATATCAACTTTCTCACCCTTGGATGATCAGCACAACAACAAATAGAAAAAACAAGGCACCCCACTGTGTCGGCTTCGCGCTGGACTCAGTTTGGCAGGTCTCAGCAGCCCTGGCTACAGCCGAGACGCTAAGAACCCTGGCGCCGCAGCAGGAGGAGCCAGGTGCGGTGTGTTGAGTCTGTCGAGGTGAAGCTACATGGGGATGTTAAGCAGCAGATATTTAAAAACCTGGGGAGTGAACTAGGGAAAGCAACTGGCTCGGAAGGTGTTTCACCATCAAACATCTGGAGTTTAGCAAAATATGGAACATGAGAGATCAAAATCTGCATGCACAGTGATCAGTCTGCAGCCATCGTTCTTGAGCAGCTTTTGGGTCGATGCTTTGTTCAGGGTTCTGACTGTCACGACCACGTGATCTACCAGACTTACGCCAAGCACCACTGAGTCACTAGCAGGACCATGAATTACACGCATAGATACATACAAACAATCTTATTTAATACATACATACATATCATACACTGACACATACGTATAAATATATACATACACACATATATTCATACACACATTCACACACACATACATATATATATATATATAGATACAAGTAAGTAGATCAATATAAATATACATGTAAAGATGTATAAATGTCGGTGAATCTATGCCAGGCACCTACAAAATCCAGTACTCCGTGGACGACCAAACCTTTGTCGACACGGGCTTGGTTTGGGTGGCCTCGGCCACGTCGTTGGTGCCTCGGTTGAATCAAGAAATCCGTGGGAAGAGGCCTTAATGTGGGTAAAACAATAATACACCACCCATTTGGGAATTGTTTTATAGCACCTATTTATTTATTGATATTTATGGTGATTTGGGGGATGGTTTATTAAGTTTATTATTGATTTATATTATAATATTTGTTAGGTACCTCCAATTTAGGTAACCTGAAATGGCAACAAAAAAGGATTGTAGGTTGATAGATTGGTAGATGTTGATAGAGTTTATCTTATTTGATGGCAACATCTAAGTTTGTTTTAAAGTAAATTGGTGACCTTTCTGTTGGGCAACCCGCCATTTGTGGACTTCGGAAGAGGCCTCTTAAGCAAATCCAAAGGAAAATCCGAGGAAGTGCGGGACAACATCAACTATCTGGCGGTGAATGGGAGCTATTATCCATATGTTTGTATCCCAAGTCATGTTCTATTAAATATCCATATGTTGATGTATATATAGGACATATATCACATATAGCTTCATATGATACATCAACTATCAGAGCTCTGTTTGCATCCATATGTTCTATTAAAAAAGGGGACCCAAGGAGCTACCTGGCGAGTCTCAGAGTCACCCCCAGCCACAGCAAAAGATAGCCGGCTTCAAACTCATTCCAACAACACATGTATCCGAAATTTGACCAACTATATATCAAACAACCAAGCAAGATACATGGAGGACTCTGGCTCAGTCAAGTTGATTTTATAAGTACTAGTAACATGAAGTAATATAAACTTATAGGTATTTTAAGTAACATAAACCTATCATAAACCTATAGGTTTCAAGACTTGGAGCATGTCTAATTCTATGGTTCGATGGCCAGGTCACTGCTATCATTCCAGACCGCGGCTTCCGGGTGGGCGGGACCAACGTGACCATCGTGACCAGTGCCTGGCTGCTGGTGGTGACAATAAATGGGTCAAACAGGGGTTTATGACATAAATAAATCACTATAAATCTATATGTATATGTATATCTGTAGTATAGTTGGTGTATGACAAATAAATCTATAGAAAGTCTTGCTCAGGGTACTTGTGTTTTTTCAGCATTTAAGCTGAAATCTTCCCGAAGAATTTATGGGAACCTTGCTGGCGGACCTTTCCATAGCATATTAGTTAGCAAGAGGACTCATTGGTTTCTGTTTTGAAAGACGGTTTATTGGCAGGTAGTATCATACAAGATTCCCATTTGTTTATAGGCTGAACCACGACATGATTTGGTGTGCCCCCAAGGTGGCCTTTATTGGTTGCCCACGCTCACTTGCGCAGCTTGGACGCATCAAACAAATGCAAAATACAGGTGTGATGGGTCTTGAGTTGTAAAGAAAACTACAATTGAGTGATGGTAACCCGGGATTGATAAACCAGCAGCTTATCGAAGTTGGTTGTACCCCCAAAATTAATAGTTGGGGTTAATTTCTCCGGGGATCCATTGACTGGAAACCTTCCACCGCTGTGACTTGTCGTGTGTTTGTGCCACTTTCAACCTGGATGCTTTATGTACGGGACTTTGGTGGAGCTTTTTGAGCTCAACAGCCAGTTGTAGTGTGCCCCTATAGAAAGGTACATAGACGAGCAGTGGCATATACCACCCAGTAGCAGTATGGATGCAACCCATCATAGGTGAATAAGATAGCCACCCAGTTGCATGGTGAAATAGCTTATTTATCTCTCGATCTACCAGGTCTTCGGATATGCACCTGTGTCCACCGTTCCCGTGCCTTGACGCCGTGGGGGCCGCTGTTTGCGGCTGGCTTTGGCATTTCGATCCTCGATGGATGGATAATGGTAGAGAGACAGAAGTGAAAGGCATGGCATGTCCATTTTTGTTCCATTGCAGTCCATGCGTTTTTCTCGAGCCAATATTTATTTTGGGAGGTTTGTTTTTGCTTGAGTCACTTTCTTTGGGTACAAGTGGGCTGGGAACTTCCCCTATGGGTACCGCATGCGTCGAACAAGGGGCGCGTAAATTTGGATGGCTGGTGCTGAGATTGTGATCAATTCTAGACCCATAGCCACAGATATGAACTTATTTGTTGATGTCATCACATGTTATAGCCGCAGCACTGTTTTGAGAACCGTTAGACACGTTTGTTCATGTGATGAACAAACAGCCCAGCAGAAAGCACACTCCAAGATGATGCACCACAAGCGGATATTACCCGATGTTACAAGTTGGTTTATAAACCTTGTTAAATGTACCACAGCAGAAACCTTACTTAACCAACTAAACCAACTTCGTAAACCTGGTTGGTGGTTTGGAACATGAACTTTATGACTTTCCATTCAGTTGGGAATAATGATCCCAACTGACGAAGTCAATCATTTTTCATAGGGGTAGGTCAACCACCGACCAGTTATGGTTAACATTCCCATCATGGTTAACCATAACCACCATCATTAACCATTATTAACCAGTTAATTAACCATCAATATTAACCAGTTAGTAAACTATGGGGCAGCTGATATTTTTTTACCGTGGCTTCCACGTTGGACGACTTGGACGTTGGACGTCAGGTGTACAACCCCGAGGATCCACTGAATCCACGCCTCACTTGCCTCACACCACCCTGTGAGAAGGCGGATGGACATCCTGAGGGCCAGAGGTTCTATTGTAGGTGAGTATATAAATAATATTATTGTTATATTATAATTATATTATATATGCTAAAGTTATAATATTATAATAATATTATTATAGTATATTGTATATTATATTATAATTATATTATATATGTTATAGTTATTAAATATGCTATTTGTTATGTGTTATATTATATATATATGTTTCAGTAGTTCTATTGTAGTTCCATATTGTAGGTACTAATATAGGGGACCCATGTATCTTATTTATTATTTTCTTTAAGTATGTGGGGATCCTTTTAGTATAATATAATATCACATACGGATACGTGTAGAAATGTGTGTCGACACGTGTATTATATATATAGTATATATATATATATATAGTATATATATATATGCAGTATATATATATATGTACACATATCAATATGATCATATAGTGTTGCATGCATGCACAAGCTGATTATTTTGTATATACATGTTTTATTCTGAAGGCCAATTTGGAACGATGAACTCCAATGTGCCAAAATAGACCAGGCGGCCTTTCACACGTGGAAATTTGAGGTTCAACAATCAATTGAAAGTCTTTCAAATCCTTGCCGGCTTGTGGTTGTCCACGATAATATGCAAATCATTTGGCCCCACACAGGCTGAACGGTTGAGGTGTATTTCCCAGGTGTAAACAATTCGAGGGGCACAGCGCTGGTACCAATTTAGTAGCAGATGAACTCATTTGTTCGCAGGACCCCTTGAATTATTTTGTTAACCGGGGTAACTGTCTATCCAGGGTTTACATTAAATATGGTAACACCGGCACACACCGGGGAATACATGGAATATCTAATCATTCTTATCCAAGCAATAATACAGGAGGAGTTCCTTGACAAAGTTTGAAAACTAGCATAACCCAAATCATACAAACCTATGAGAAACACATGAAACACATTAATGTCAAATCATATCAAATCCCAGCAAAAAAGTCCTTGAATCATGACGTTTAATGTTTACATCCCATTAACACAAATACAAACACACATAAAGCCCCGTGAAAATCGCATAAAAAGGCACATTTACAAGACGTGTCCATGTGCAACTTTCTACACATTACCCCAATACTTACTGGTGCTTAGCATGGAATTTTCGGGAATGATCCCAGTCATCACTAGTAATAATCATCCCATTCCCCCATTCCCATCCATTCCCTACTACAATGTGGGGCCCCCAAGATAGCTAAGTTGGTTTATAACTCCAATAACTATGGTTTATGGAACTTATAACTATAGTTACTGGGGCTTATAAACCAACTTATAACTGGGGGGCACCACGTTGTAAGCACCAGTAAGAATACATTTGGGGTGACCATCAGCCGTTGCGCCAGGCCATGTATTTGGACGGTGTGGGGCCCAACAGCTCCGTCGATTGTTTTGGCTTCGTCACCGTGCAGATGACCTTCAACGGTGCGCCGGTCGGACATGGAGTTTCTTTTTTTGGATGGATTCTTAATGGGAATAACCATGTTAAAAACATGTAAAAACAGTTTTTATCAATTTCAGGTAATACAGATAAGTTGTTTTTTTTGTATATAACCATGTGGTATTAAACGTGATAAGTTGGAATATAACCATATCGTTTATTAATTATAGAACGTTCCAACACCGGATTGTTTTGGCATGGATAAACTTCTGGGCATGTTAATGTCAACCCCGGATTTAAGCTAACCATGGTTTATTTTCATCATGGAGGTAGCCTCCTTAAATAACGATAGAGAGAGATTGAAACAGCCGTTTGTTGACATTACTCAAGGTGGGACCCCTCAGTTTTAAGTTGGTAAAGACCTTCAACTATCGAGATATACCTGCAAAAAAAACATGGTTAATTGAGTTGTAATTCCACTTTGCGATCTAGGGGTCACAGCTTATTGGTCGAATGCTTATTAGTGGTCATCGGTGGTTATCAGTCCTCATTAGTACTCATCAGTGGTTATCTGTCCTCATTAGTGGTCATCAGTGGTTATCAATACTCATTAGTGGTTGTTGAAGCTGATGGTAGTGGCTATCAATGGTGGTTGTTAGCGGTAGCTAGTATGGGGTTCTTTGGAAATATTCGTTTGACTGGGATAAATCCACCCAAAAAGGGGTGCAACCGGTGCAACCCACAACCCGTGGAGCAAACTTGGGTGAATGATCCAATATAAATGGGGATTGGTGTTGATATGCAAGTCGGTGTTCTGATGGGATAATTACTATCAGTATATACATTTGTGTCTATGACCATTTATGTATGGGACAAAACAACCACCAAACAAAATAGAACAATAACAACATACTAAGAGAGCGAGAGGGCGAGAGAGAGAGAGAGAGAGAGAATCAGAGGTAAGTGTTTTTTTTTCGTAAGTGGGTTTTCTGCATTTTTTTGGGGCTGCCATAGCTTTTTATAGGATTTTATTATCACACTTATGTGTTCCTCATGCAAATCTTTGGACATATAGACAATGCAGACGTATTTACATTGCGAATGGTCTATTGTACCAGCTGTCATTGAGATGTGGTTTGAATAAACATCAAAGGAGCCGAGGATTTGGAACAAAAATCAATGATTGGTGAGTGGCGAATGTTTGGCCACGGAGGAAACTCAGGTCCTAGCGAAGATTCTTGGAATGGGAACAAAAGAGGAACTGTTGAAATGAATATCTGAGATTAGCAATGTAAATTCCCTGGGTGTGCTTGCGTATGTGTAGACTGAGCAGTGGCCTACCATTACTGGTTGGTGGTTTGGAACATGAATTTTATTTTTCCATTCAGTTGGGAATCAAATGATCCCAGCTGACGAAGTCCATCATTTAGGTCAACCACCAACCAGATTGCAAATTTGCTGGTATTTCTCCTCGTTTCTGAGACGGAATCAGTTGTCATGTTGGGATGATCAGTTTTTCATCAGTAGAATCCATCACCATCGGATTAACAAAGCCTGGTTGATGAATCAGGTTGGTTCCGCCGAAGAGTGATAAATTGATATAAAAAAAAGCGACTTAGATGGTGCCCCCCAGTTAAACAACCCAGGGGTATTAATCTGGGGTTGACATTAGATAGATGGTTGAATACAAAACAAACACAATCCAAGACTCGACCCCGGACTCTGCGGCTCCTTTGGTCTTCAACATGCTCGTCCAGTAGGTTTTGAACAGCTCAGGTCGCAACATGTTCGGCAACCTGACCTACGAATATGTGAAGATGCCTCAGGCTGCAGCGAAAACCACGTATAGACATTGGGTGCAAGTCAGGGCTAGACATGAGCAGACCAGACAGTATGAAACAGCACTCAACGACTCAAACCTGCAGGAATAAATGAATCAGCCCTTTTGAATCAAGTTTCATCCATCTCCATACCGGGAAGGAGCCAAGGGGCCAAACTGGTGACCAATGGTTTCAGACGCTTCAATTCGTTCGACCCGGCTTCTCGAGTTGCTGATTGCACAGGTGACCTATGCCAGCCCCTTCCCGGCCAGCGGTTGGAGCTTCTCGGCCCGAGAGCAGTGGCTGAAGTGCGCATTTTACTTGGATGGTTTACCCCAGTTACCCTCTGGTAATTTAACATAGCTATTGAAAATCACCATGTTTAATGGGAAAATCCACTATTAATGGTCATTTTCAATAGCTACGTTAAATTACCAGAGGGTAGCAATTCTAAGCAGGGTGAGTCCGGTGATAGCGAGGCTTGCAAACCACTTACGAACTGGGGTGAAGCACAACATCGCAGGGAAACCTTGTTACCTTGCGTTAAAAAGCATTGTTTCTTGTAAACTGTGCCTTCCGACCAATGGCAGAGACATTTTGGTGGCAGAAATCCTATATCATAACGCTATGAATTCTGGTTCTATGTCCAGCTTTTCTGACCAAACTAACAGTTTTTAAGGGTCGCAGAATCCAATTTCCAGCAAAGTCATTCCAGATCATGCATTTTTTTGTTGTTCAGATCAACACGTTCCACACACCCTCAAGCAAATATATCCGCATGGATATGGAACACCCTCTGTTTGTAGTCTAGATACAGTAGATAACTTTCGGAATGTAAGACATCCATATCCACATGATTTCCACTTGATTTCCACTTGATTTCCACATGAGGCAACGATCTCACGATCGCTTTGTTCGGCATGAACTTCCAAGAGCCCATGTGGTGTCGATGGGCTGACTTGGCATCTCGCCCATATCTGGGAGGAGAAATTGGAGGATGCTGTGACGATTGTTGATGTGATTATTATTCATTATATGTCATTTAATGTTATCATATACCATTTGGTGAATTAACATAGCCATCGGAAATGGCCCATTTATAGAGGTTTACCGGTTTACCTATTAAAACCTCCATTTATGAGGGATTTTCCATGGCTATGTTAAATAACCAGAGGGTATATATACAGATGATTACAGATGCATTTTTTATTACTATGATGATACGATTGTTTCTTTTCTTATTGTCATTCTGCTGGTTCTTGTCATTGTTTGTTTCCTGCTTGTGGCACGCACAGCTTGGTTAACATGGAGACCAAGAATCAATGAACTCATGGCCCCAAGCCGGGCTCTCGTTTAATCATGTCATAAAGCAATTGGATGGAATTTACCCTCTGGTTATGTCAAAATAGCTATGGAAAATCACAATTTTTAATGGGAAAATCCACTATTAGTGGTCATTTTCAATAGCTATGTTAAATTACCAGAGTGTAAGTTCTGATTTCTCGTCGTGATTAATGAATTTCTCAAGTTGTTCTCTCAAGAAACGATCCAGTCGTATTGGTTCCTGGCCTTAATTGTTGATCATATCCCCATGTAACTAAGGTTACAAACGAAAATTCAGCAGAAACTGGGCCGGGCAAACTAAAGGAAACAGTCTGCTTGCAAGAGAAAGGCTCAAGAAATTATATCATGCTATTTCTATTATATATTTTGAAATGGGTTGTGTTAGAAGAGAAGCACTAGAACAATCAAGTATGAACCACCATTTTTTTGTCAAAGATGCTCCCTTTTTTGTGGCTTGTTTTTTGTCATGTCCATATTCTACTACTTCAGGATATATATATATATACACATACATATGCATACATAGATATAGATAGATAGATGGATATATATATATATATATATATATGCATATAGTATCACCCACTTCCAACATCCCAGTCCTCCGCCCAGAGCGAGAGCCCCGCCACGGACGTGACGCCTGGCTTCATGCGTTGCACTGCACCGCAGCTCCCCGTGGAGATGCGTCCGGACAACGCGTGCGCGGCCTGGGTCGTTGATGGGTCGATTGAGCTGGAAAAATAGGGATTTCCTTGGCAAACATGGGGAGTTAAGAAGCACACATGTGGAATGTGGATTTAGACCAGGAAAATGGGGGGAACACAACTAGACCATGGTGAATTTAACGAACAACCGTGGTGGTTTACTGCATTTTATGGTGGATGGTTTGGTATGGTGTTTTTGTCAAGCCAGCCTCGGTTGAAACAAGATAGGTTAAACTGTGAAATCCAGTGACGATGAAATGTTCATCACTTCTTGACGCAAAAACGCATCTAAGAATCATGCTGGTTGTGATTTACAAGTCATACATAATTCCCGCAAAGACATGAACCAACAAAATAGGGCTTTGGATGGCTTTGGTACCCTCTGGTAGTTTAACATAGCTATGGAAAATCACCATTTTTAATGAGAAAACCCACTATAAATGGTGATTTTCCATAGTTATGTTAGTTTCAATAGCTACGTTAAATTACCAGAGGGTAGGGCTTTGGTACAGTTCACCAGATTCCCTACACATTGGCCCCCTGTTTCGTCCCGCAGATCCACGGTCCACAGCATCTTGAGCTACTTCGAGATCTCGCCCAACGGACAAGACTGGACGCGCTTCAAACGCGCGTGGCTGTGGTACAGGCCCAGCGGCGTCACCATCGAAGCATATCGAAGCGGGTGAGTTGAGGGGCAAGTTTGCCTCTAAGTAGTCTAAGTAGAGCAAAGTTCAAAAAGATAGACATGGCAAGGTTTGAAATACAACGGTGCAGGTTATAGTTCAGAATTGGATTTTGCTTTTCATTCCTTCTTGGGGGACATGCTATAGATGTAGGTGGTCCCATCAAGCATCTGGATGCCCCCACTGATTGTGCCGTTGTTGGCCTTGCACCTGTTCATGTTTATTTGGAAGATGGGCCACCAAAGGACACCTGGATTTGTTTGTGTTTTTCCATTGCACATATGACTGGTTGGTGGTTTGGAACATGGCTGGATTATTTTCCCATATATTGGAACTGACTTTCATATTTTTCAGAGGGGTAGGTCAACCACCAACCAGTATGTCAATGGATTGGTCAATATCAGCACAGGAAACGCTGATATGTTGCAAAAACAATAGGCATGTCCTGAGAACGCCAATGCTGTGGAATTGGTTGACACGAGCACCCAAGATCCGCACGTTGGTAGACTTAACCTTTTTGGATGATCTCCCAACAAAAGATTCGGATATTTTGTTCAGCTTGATAAAGGATATACACGTTATGCATGCTGGATATATGTGAGTCATATGTGTGTATATATATATTCATTATTTCATATATAGACCTTTACCTACATTAATGTTCACAACTTACATGTGTTCACATGTCATTGATTTAGTATTTCTTACCTCGGTGGATCATGGCGGACCCTTTGTCAAAACAAAGAAACTGGTCACTTACCTGGTCGCAGGGAGCCGGAAGTATTGAACATCGTTCCAAACACCACCTTCCGGTCGTATGCGCCTCAAGGGGTGCCTTGGATGGTTCAAAGGACACCACGATTTTTTCTCCCAGAAGTTGGTAAGCAGGCCATCGCCACAAAACATGACGATCTCACTGCTCACCGGAAGGATGATTTTCATAGATGTTAGGGGTAAGTATCCCAAAAGCTGGCCTTATTTCAGATTGGTGAATGATTACAATTGATCCAGGTCCATGGTTGCCATGGTTCCTTGTAGACTCTTGTAGACTTTTCCCTCTAAGCAAGCCAATGATTATGCCCCAAAAAGACTAGGTTATACTATGTTGATGTAAGGGATTGTTGGGACGAAACTGCAATTCTCGCTCCTTAAATTTAGCTTTGAAACCAAATTTCTGTGATGAAGCTTCATGATGTTCCCCTGGGTTTAAATCTGCATCTGAAAACCATCCCAAGATTTTTCTTGGCATTTTCTAAGCACCAATTCCAGTCACTAGGCTCTACTTCCCCTCAGGATTTCATCATCACGGGGCGCTACTTCCGCTTGTTGCAGCCCGAACTGGTGCAGTGCGTGTGGCTGTATGCAGCTTGACATTGATCAATATCAACCAAGTTCGCAAACCCTGGTTGATTAAGGGGGATTCCCGAAATAGTGATAACTTGCTACTAATCGATATTAAACAACATTATGTAAACAACCCATGGACTTATTAATCGGGGTTGGTATTTTTGCAGTAATCAAACATGGCAGTGGGAAATGGAACATGATTTAGTGTAGTCCAATTAACATTAACAGATCCCGACTGAAAGGCTTATCCAATCCCGGAATTGGATGGAGGATGAAGCGAACATGTAATGATTATTAACCCAACTATTTTCATGGTAAAAAAAATGGCTGTCCTGTGTATTTAACTGACCCTAACCCAATGACATCCAATGAGCCAAGTACACCCCCTGAATCTGTATAACACGGAACCAGGATATATAATGGCGTTTGGGGAGAGAAGAAACTTATTGGATTTGGCGCGCCAAGTTCAATTTACGGACTGCAATTGTAGATATTTGCCATAAACCCAACACCCAACCTACATATTTCAAACAACTTGGGTAACTATGGGACACCAACTTCGGTAATTATGGATATGATATATCTAGGATAAGCCCTAGGCCTACTTACTTCAACCAACTTAGTCCGGGTTTGGTGGCCTTGTGCAGATCCAATGGGGCTCAGCGATCGCCGAGGACAAATACCTACCCCCCGAGCGCGTCAACGCGGAGCTCCTTTCGCCTGAGACGCTGCGGTGTCAACCCACGCAGCCGGCAGCAGCGTCGGGCATCGACACCATCGTACCTTGGACGTACTATGTCCACCATGGGGGCCACAGGTTGATCAGCACAGACGTGCTGGTTTGGTTTATAAGGGTTAATAGTGGTTAATAATGATGGTTGATCAATCATGATTGATAATAGTATTAATCATTGGGATGCTTAATGGGATATACCCTCCGGTGTTATCAAACATGGCGGGGTCGAAAACCCCTGAGCTCGATCGAGGCTTGTAGCTGGGAAAATCATCTATGTCTATAAATGAATAAACAAATAAATACCATTAAGAAGTCTCCATGGCTCACCGAGGACAAGTTGCAGCCTTTGGGCGTCAATCTGGAAGTTTCCATGTCGACGCAGGTGCGCTTCCGTTGTGCCGTTGTTTCCATCCGGGTGGTCATTTACTTGGCTTGTAGCATCTCATCATGTCCCCTTCAGATAGTATTGTTTAAGGCCAATTCCATGGTGAGATTTGATCCCGGTGCTTGTAGGATGAATATTGAAACATTTACTGCCTGAGGTTAAAAGTTCTCTTATTGTCCTTCCCTCAAAATGGATAGAAAGAGGATGGTTAGTTTTTTTTCTTGCAACGTTCTGAAAGAAACCAATCAGTTCAGCATTTCATCTACGTGGTCGCTGTGTTTCGAATCCTTCAGATGCTCATGATGCATCCAGCTGACCGTTTCATCATGATTTTTGTTGTCTCGAATGTCATTTTTTCACAAAAACAACATCACAAGAAAGACATAACATATCCAAAAGTGATCTGGAAAAAGCCTTTTCAATATTCAAAAATTTGGTGGTTTCAAACATTTTTTATTTTCCATTTCATATATGGGAATGTCATCATCCCAACTGACGAACTAACTCTTTCATATTTTTCAGGGTAGCTCAACCACCAACCAGATGATATAGTCACTGGATTGGTTTAAGGGAAATTTTACAGGAAACCATGGTTTTTACCATCAAATATAGGGCTTTTCGCTTTTCTGTAAATTTTCCCATCATCCAATTCTATGATATAGTGCAAAATCCCAACAAAACACTCATTGATTAGATATTCCAAAAAATATCAACATCAGCTGGCTTTTATTTTCCATTTCATATATGGGATGTCATCCTTCCCATTGACTTTCACTCCATCATTTTTCAAGATGGGTAAAACCACCAACCAGATAGCTAAGTTGGTTTATAACTTCAATTTCACTATGGTTTATGGTACTTATAATAACTTATAACGAACTAGTTACTGGGGCTTATAATTAAACCAGTTAATATCAACATCAGCTGGCCAGGTGTAGAACCCATTCCAAAGTCCACCTGGCGCCTCAGGTGGACTCGGCCTCGGCTTTGACGGTGCTGGCGGAGGAACGGATGGAGCTCCAAGCCTCCGTGGAGGGCAACTTCCCAGGCGTCGTGGAAGCGCAGCTGGGGAAAAGCCATGGGAAAACCCATGGAAAAACCCTGGAAGATGAAGATTTAAACCTGAGGTTTTCAAGTACCATGGTTTACCAAGTTTACCCCATGGAAAAAAAACATTGATCTAAGTGGTGTGGGATGGGTTTTAAGCATGACAAATGGATACAAATGGTGGTTCAAGCATCAGACAATAGGATAGGGTGAAGGTGGGATGGTCATGCTGTCGAAGAGGCCTACGAGCACGCATCACCTTCAGCCAACCATCAACTACTTGTGGATCAGGCCATGCGCTTGCAGATCTTGTGGATGCAAGACATGATGTACCCACGGACCCACTTCTCGCAGCGCACATCAAGGGCTACGGCCTCCCAACTTCGGAATTGCGGGTGGCTGAACGCTTCCATCTTGAAGCCTACAAGGCTGCAACTTCAGCACAGCACCAACTTGGTCCATGCTGCTACTTCCATCCTTCACCTTCGGTAACACAGATTTTGCCATGCGATTCATCCCAACTTAAGCAGCTGGTTTGCGCAGGGTTTCCAAAGATTGGGAATGAAGGGTTGGAGATTTTGTGGGGGCCATAAAAGTTGCCATAAAAGTGGATATCAACGTGATATAGGCTGATATAGGACAGACCCATCATGTCACACACACACATATATATATATATATAAAATCATGACAAGTGTCAAAAGTTGATTTTGTTTGAAGGGGTGCGCTGGTTTGGGCGTGCCCTGGCCTAATGGCTACTGGTGGTTTTTCGCCAAAAGTTTTTCGGCGATGGAATTCTCCGAATTGACATCCCAAGTTGTTGAACAAAAATGGTGCTTTGCCATCTTTGCCATGACAAGTCCCCATATCACCCCAGAAAAAACGTAAGGCGCATCACTCTATGGCTCAATGTGTTCATCGATTTTTCATCGCTTTTCAATCACTCAGATTTTCCAGTTCATTTCTGGATGATTGGGATCATGTTTCGATAATATGCCTATGCTTTACTGCTTTACCTAAAAACAAAGCAAAATGGTTTGCATGCTGCATCTGCACGAGACCTGGCAGGACCTGCAGTTTTCCCAGGAACTTGCCTGGTTACTGGAGGTGGCTGTGGGGGGTGTGCTGAGGATGTAGAGTGACAAGATGGCTGGTATAATGGTATATGCTGGTATGGTTACAAGGTAAGGCCCCTAGAGCACGAAATGCCTAAGTTGACGCACATAGAGTGCTTAGCTGTTGGGTGGGTTATATAACATTGATGTAACGAAATAGCCAATGGGTTACAAACCAAGAAACACAACTGAGGGGCCTCGCCGTTTAATGCGTGTCAATGGCTTTGGGCTCACCAGAATCTAGCAGCTAAACTGCAAGGTATTGCAAGGTGGTGCCCCCAATTATGTTCGTTGGTTTATAAGCAGTACTAACTATAGAGATAAACCCACTGAACCAACTCATCAAGCAACTTATCAAAAGTCAACTTTTAATTGCTGTTGTGGTTCTTATTTGAATTCTCTTGGAAACTTGCTTGGAAGAAGTTAAATTCAACTATAGATCACCATTTTTGCTGCATGGTTAATTTTCACTCGTTGTGAGCTAGGGCATTTGAAACACCAGCTTGTGAAGAGTGAAGCCAACCAACAGGGGTTGGTAACTGTCCCATTTTGGATATATTGGACATCACCTTATAGTAGTCATTATAGACCATATACCTAATGGTTGGGTGATGTTCAATGGGGACATTTAATGACCCATGACCAAGTTGGCGACTTGGGTCGGCAAACCACGCCAGGTTGCACGCTCACCTTGCGTGGTTTGCGGCTCTGGGCGGAAGAGCCGATTTATGGCAGCGGCAACCGCACAGGTGCTCTGGGGTCTGGCTGTGGGCTGGCTGTGGGCCTGGGGGAATGATGAAAATGACGAGTTCACCAAGGGAAATGGTGGAGTTACATGGATTTACCATCTGGTAATTTAACATAGCTATGGAAAATCACCATTTTTAATGGGTAAATCCACTATTTCTATGGCCATGTTCAATAGCTATGTTAAATTACCAGAGGGTACACTATATTTACACTATGAAAGGGTTCTTTTTGGAGAACTGTGATTTCAGTGGTGGAAATCTGGAGTTCACTGGGGATCATGGGGGTTTCAGTGGGTAAAAATCTGGGAATTTCACCAGGGAAAAGATCAACAGATCCCTCGGGCTTGGGTTCCAATAGTTGTTATCCCCTAGAGGATGCCGCACACTTCATCCAAAAGTCAACCAATAATTACTGATACTGAAGACTCACTGTTCGACATTTTTTGGTTGGGGTTCCAATAGTTGTTATAATTAAGTGGCACAAAAGTTGGCGATCCCGAACTTAGGCGCCAAGCTCTTTGTTGCTGTGGGCGATCACTTGTTGGAAGCGCGACGTGGCAAGGTGTGGACCAGTTCTGTTGCAAGGTGTTGGGTGTTGATGGGTATTGTCTATACTGGCTATGGGTTTCTGATGGTTTCTGCCCCAAAAAGATGCCAAAAAGTGGGCAACCTGGAAATATGAAGTAAATGTAATCGAACTGACATCTTGGAATAAATCTTGGAACCACCGCTAAACCTGGAAGAAAAATCCTGCACGAATGCTGTGGGAAACCTGGAAATTCGTAGTTCATCATCAACACAATCTGAGTTATACATCCATCTGAACTATGACGACCTCACTTCAACATCACTAGAATGATGGTTAGTAAATGTTAGTAAGAGGGCAAGCCCCAAATAACCGAACTTTCTCAGGTGGGTGAATCATTGCAATTTATCCAGATGCATTAAAACAAACAGCGGCTCGTCTCCCTACACCCTGGACAGCTGTTGCTCAACATATCATGGTCATGGTTGATTCACACATATAGACATTTATAGATTGATTTGCCAATATTCACTACAATTCCGTTAATAAATTAGTGATTATATAAAACATATCAAAACATTTATTATTCATATTCGACTCATATCCATCAATGCATACACCCATAGATATCAATCAACATCTGTTATGACTAGATATCCCATTAACATTAATATTACTGGTTGGTGGTTTGGAACATTTTTCCATATATTGGGAATGTCATCATCCCAACTGACGAAGTCCATCATTTTTCAGAGGGGTAGGTCAACCACCAACCAGATGATATAGTGCAAAATCCCATTAACACTCATTGATTAGATATTCTACAATGTGAGGCCCCCGTTTGATAGCTAAGTTGGTTTATAACTTCAATTTCACTATGGTTTATGGTACTTATAACGAACTAGTTACTGGGGCGAATCTAAACCAGTTAATATCAACATCCATTCAAAGTCCCATTGAAACCCTATTGAAATCCATCAACATTGCCATCTCTTGGGGCCTCACGGCCTCACCGCCACAGGACCCCAATTGGGCCACGGTGCGTTTGCCACCCACGCCCCATATGGCCATAGTGCCGCGTGCCGAGCCTCTACGCCTCACGAGGAACCTGCAGGCGCGAAAATCGCAGGGAGTTGATGTTTGGGGCAGTTGAGGTTCAAAAATGCTGTTCGTTTCTGGGATTTTATGGTGATTTGATGGAATTTAAGCGTAATTTAATGGAATGCAATGGGATTTAACAATTCAATGGGATTTATAAATATATCTATTTGAATGGAATATCCAATGGGATATGCAATGGGGTCTGACAGCAGTGGCAGTTCATAATTTTGGGCGCTTGATGAATGACTCGTTTGGGGGTGTCCTATTTTCAGACAAACCCATGTAGATTTTACCAGCGAACATTCCGATTGAGGTTTTACCAATAGCCTCTGGTTATGACTAACACAGCTATTGAAAATGGCCATGTATAGTGGATTTACCCATTGAAAGTGGTGATTTTCCATAGCTATGTTAGTTTACCAGAGGGTAAATGTAGAGGTTTGTCCAAGCATGTGGCATTCAGAAATTGTAATTGCTTAATCTTTGAAAGTATGAAGGACAAAGGACAAATAAGAAACACCTCACTGGCCCAACTCACCATAGACAGAGGGCAAACCATCCGCAATATCAAAAGGGTTGATTTCTGGGTTGGGAACTCCCTTTTTTTCCCAGGTGGGACTCCAAGAAAGGGATTCGCCGTAACCCGTTTTTCACCCATTGGCAATCTATATGGAAACATCGTTTAAGTTCATATTTATATATATATATATATATTTACTGTAAATCATGTGATGTTGGTAGAGCCATCAAACCCTTTGCGATTGTTCTATGGATACTGCGAATACAATGTGGTGCCCCATAGTTATAAGTTGGTTTATAAGCTCCAGTAACTATAGTTATAAGTACCGTAAACCATAGTTATTGGAGTTATAAACCAACTTAGCTTTCTTGGGGGCCTCACATTGTAGAAAATATCATGAGCCACGGTGACTAGAACCAGCTCAGATTGTTCATCCTTTCCACAAGTGACACGGGCAGGCTGTTGAACGATTTTCAGGATGCCCCATCATCAAAAATCACTACTGCTTGGTGGTTTGGAACATGTTTTATTTTCCATATATGGGATAATACTTCCCATTGACGAACTCATATTTTTCAGAGGGGTAGGTGGTTGACCCACCAACCAGACTATGGTTCATCATTCTCCCCATGTTCCATTGTGGTTGTCAAAGACTGATCTGGGAGTCTGGGAGGGGCTACCCTGGTAGGACTACACGCCTGCGGACGTCAGCATTGGTTTCAACCCTATTCCCATCGGCACCTTCTACCGTGCCGAGCTCCACAACGGCACCCTACAGCCGCCTGGAGATTTTTTTTTCCAAAGGCTGGTGGAGACACAAAGATCTTTAAGCGTCAGCCCGCCCTAAAGTTGTGGAAGGGTTGTGTATGCATATATATATATATACATATATATATATATATATATATTTGCATAGCGCATCCCATTTCATATCTTGCTCAGAGGGGCTTGCAGAGTTTTGATCCGTTATGAAGATAAATTCAAGTTAATAAATGTATTCATTCAATATCTTGTTCAGAGGGGGTGGCGGATCTGATGATGGCAGCCAGTGTTTCAGAAGGCGATTCTGAAACAATCCGAACAGGCATAGCCTTGGCCCTAAAGTTTTCTCAGGCCAAAGGGTTAACTCAGGTGAACTCCGTTCCTGACGGTGGTGGAAGCCTTACTCTCGTTCTTGTTTTTGGCTGCCGCAACGGAGAATGACACTGAGTTCAGGACGAAGGTCCGACGTTAACGAAGGTGTCGCTATTCATCAAGATCAGGGGCACCTGATTTGGCAACCACGCATGTGCCACGCATGTGACAGAGCTGGCAGAGTTCTGTTACGCTCTTGATAAGGAGAAGACGAAGATCTTCCACAAGAATTCAGTTGTCACAAGGTACAGCCCTGGGAATGGTTAAAGGTTGCCCGACGTGTTGAAAGGTACATGTGTTGACCCAGGAGGAGGATGGATCGTAAAGGATCGTTCCTCTGATCTTTTTCTGATCGTTTACACGATCGGTAAGAACGAGGACCATCGCATGTTTGATATGATGAGAAACTGATGGAATTATGGAATTTAATCTCTTAAAACAAATGTTCAGAAGGGGGAAGCAGATTTGTGAAGACCAGTTAGGGTTAATATCCTAGTCATTGTCTATATAATTATGTCTATATAATTATTTATATTATTGTTCAGGCTGTTCAGACGGGGTGGATGATTTGATCCATCATGAATCATGAAGATGATCCCCCAAACGCCTATACTATAAATAGACCAGAATGGTTTTCAATGAGGGTTGTAACATGATGCAACCACCAACCAAAAAACCTTTAGATTCTTTAGATGTTTCAGGATCAAGTTGTTTTTTTTTGGTAGGGCCACCTCAGTTTCATTTGCTGCTTTGCTTATTTACCTCGGGGTATCTCGGGGTATAAGCAAAGCTGCAGTGTTAAAACAGATCCACATGAAATGATAATATACTAGTATATTCTTTACATCTTGAATATCATAGGCATGTTCCGGTTCCAAATTTAATTTGTGGACGACAACAGCTGGTTACTAATCTATGAAAACAAAGATACATACATGTTTATGATTCTATTCGCGGTCTTACCAGGCGTTTTTGCTTATGTCATGTTTCCCCATGTCTCATCGCTTCCCTACAATGTGGTGCCCCCTATTTATAAGTTGGTTTATAAGCCCCAGTAACTATAGCTATAAGTACCATAAACCATGGTTATTGGAGTTATAAACCAACTTAGCTATCTTGGGGGCTTCACATTGTACAGCTACTGTATATATACTTCCCAGTAGTTGCACACATTCGTTATTCGTTTCGTTTCCACTTGTTTTGCGGAGCGGTGCGCCCAATTTCCATTATAAGTACAGTCAGTCATATATAGTCACGATAGCCACAAACAGTTCCATAAACAGTTTCATAAACAGCTTCATAAACATCAATAAACTATATAAACGATAGTTCACCTAGTTATTTGGTGTTATTTACAGCAACTAGTTGCTACCTTTTTGGGGCACGAAATCGGTGGGATGATTTCACGCACGACTTGACCGAGGCCCTGCCCCCAGGGCCACGCGTGCCCGGGCGTGGGCGTGAACCAGTCCGACCTGACCTATCCAGGGGATGCGCCCATCAGGTGTTTACCAGGCAGGGACATCAAAAAAACCTGGGAACGGGCTGAGAATCCCGGTTTTCCCAAAGGCTTCCCCGCTAAAGTTCTGGTTGGTTGAGTTGGTCACTAATCTTGCTGGCTGTTAAGCAGGAACAGGGGAACCATGGAAAATGATGACGATCATGAACTTCCATTCATGGACTCATAGAATCCATGGTGATAACTTTAACAAGTGGAAAACTGGGGTAGGTGCCACCAGGCCTAGTGGGCGCCTCTCTGGTGCACATTGCAGATCATCAAAGGGATCAATGGAAACAATGGCAGTGTACATGAAAGGGTTGCATGGAAGGGCGGATACACCAAGAGGGAAATGATTATTGTAAGAACTGATGCTTGCCGAGATCATTTGTCATCCTTAGCTGGGTGCTGATAGTTACTTGCTGTTCAGCAAGGATGCAAAGCCTGACAGGGTCAAATCTTGTTTAAGCTGCTGGTCAGCAGCAGGGAACCCTTGCTGAGCAGCAAGGTTTTCGTTGACCAGCAATGGTTTAAACGCTTTTGGTTTAAGCGCTTATTGAAGTTTCTGCTGCTCGACAGCTGCAGGGCTTTAAAAAAGCTGCTGGCCAGCAACTGTCTATCCTGGCCTAAGCTGCTGGTCAGCAGCAGGGAACCCTTGCTGAACAGCAAGTTTCAAAGCAGTTGTTGGGCAAGTAAAGATACTTAGGGTTTAATCATGATATAACTGGCTGGTGTGAGTAAACTTCTGCTGCAGCACAGCAGCAGGGTTCAGCTAGAATCTTCCTGGCCAGCAACCATTTAACCTAGTTTAAGCTGCTGGTCAGCAACAGGGGGCCCTTGCTGAACAGCAAGGTTCTTGTTGGCCATTAATGACTTCAATGTTTTTGATTTAGTTGCCTATTGAAGTTTCTGCTGCTCGACAGCTGCAGGAAACCGTTGCTAAAAAGGAAGGCTGCTGTTGGCCAACGGTGCTTCTAAGTTTTCCATTGCTGGAAAGCTGCAAGTTTCAAAAGGATGCTGTTGGCTAGCAAGATTCTAGCTGAACCTTGCTACTGCGCAGCAGCAAAAAGTTAACTGGCGCCAGCCAATTATCCCATGCCTGAACCATAAGCTCATCAGTTGGCCAACAACTGCCTTGAAACTTGCTGTTCAGCAAGGGTTCCCTGCTGCTGATCAGCAGCTTAAACAAGATTAGACGGTTGCTAGCCAGCAAAATTCTAGCTGAACCCTGCTGCTGCACAGCAGCAGACAGTTAGTGACACCAGCCACTTATACCATGATTGAACCAGAACCATAAGATCATTAGTTGCCCAACAACTGCCTTGAAACTTGCCGTTCAGCAAGGGTTCCCTTCTGCTGACCAGCAGCTTAAGTTAGGATAGGCACTTGCATGTCAACAGACTTCTAGCTGAACCCTGCTGCTGTGCAGCAGCACTAAAAAACATTGTCACTGAAACCTGCTGCTCAGCAAAGGTTCCCTGCTGCTGACCAGCAGCTGAATTTTTCGCACAATGAATTCAAAACGTGCTTAATGTTGATAAGTTTGCGTTGTGGGCGCAAGAGGTGCGCAATTGGATTTTCAAAAAAGAGGCCACCTGGCAGCCACTTGCTGCAGCCACTTGGGGCAAGTGTCTGCGAGTGGCTGCAAGTGGCTGCCAAGTGGCTGCCAAGTGGCTGCTTGAGCACGTGGCTGCCAAGTGGCTGCAAGTGGCTGCAAGTGGCTGGAAGGGGCTGCCAAGTGGCTGCTTTGTCAAGTGTCTGCCAAGTGGCTGCAAGTGGCTGCAAGTGTCTGCCAAGTGGCTGCTTTGGCAAGTGGCTGCAAGTGGCTGCAAGTGGCTGCAGGTGGCTGCAAGTGGCCGCCTGAGCAAATGGCTGCAAGTGGCTGCAAGTGGCTGCCTGAGCAAGTGGCTGCAAGTGGCTGTTTGAGCAAGTGGCAATTCGACTAAACGAGCGGCAATTTTCCTTTGCATTTGGTTTTTGAAATATTGTCCATAATGTCCCCCCCGGTGTGATAGACAGTCCCGGCTTATGCGACACAGACCTTGCAAAAACATGCAAAAACAACCCTAAACAAGAACAGCAACAAGAAGAACAACAAGAAGAAGGGGAAGGAGAAGAAGAAGAAGAAAAAAAAAAGAAGAAGAAGAAGAAGACAAAGAACAAGAACGAATAGAACAAGGAGAACAATGAGAACAAGGAGGACAAGATGGAGAACAAAACGAAGAACAAGAACAAGAACCACAACAAAAACAAGAACAAGAAACAGAACAATATCAAGAACAAGAGCACAACCACAAAAACAAAACTAAGAACAAGTCCTTAACTTTCGATCATCCTTGATGCTACGCCGCAAAATCTTGCCCTTGATTTTCGAACAGCTTTGATGCCACGCTGTCAGATCACAGCCTGTTCTTGCAATCATCCGGGTTGCTACCGTGCAAAATTTGGTCCTTAACTTGCAAATCTTTGTTGCTACGAAGTAAGATCTTGTCCTTAACCTTCAAACATGTTGGATGCTACGCTCTAAGATTCTGTTTGTCTTGTCCCTAACCCCCAAAAGTGTTGGAAGACACGCTGTAAGTTCTTGTCCTTAACGAACAAGAACCAGAACAAGAGCAAAAACCACAACCACAAGAACAAGATCAAAAGCAATAACCACAAAATTAACAACAGTAACAACAACAACAACAACAAAAACCACAACCACAACCACAACCGCAACCACAACCCCAACCCAACCAAAATAACAAAAACAAGAACGAAAGAACAAAAAACAAGAGCAATAACAACAATAACAACAGCAATGACAAGAACAAAAACGAAAACGAGAACAAAAGAAATAATAGCAAGTTCTTTGAAGATCTGGATGCTGCACAAGAAGAGACCGTCCTGAACTCTCAAACATTTTGTATGATTTTGGTTGCTATGGAGTAAGACTTTATCCTCAACATTCAATGATCTTGAGTGCTACGGTGTAAGATCGTGCTCGTGACATTCAATCATCTTGGACGCTAGGCTCGAAGCTCTTGTCCTTAACTTTGAACATCTTGGATGATATGCCCTAAAACACTGTCCTTGAATTACAAACATCTTGAATCTTGGATGCCACGCTGTAAGACCTTGCCATCAATCTTCAAACACCTTTGATGCTACGGTGTCAGGTCTTGTCCTTAAGTTCCAAACATGTTTGATGCTACTCTGTAAGATCCTCTCCTTAATTTTCCAGCATCTTGGATGTTACGGTCTAAGACCCTGTCCTTAACTTTCAATCATCTTGGATTGTACGGTATAAGATCTTGTCCTTAACTTTCAACCATCTTGGATGACACGCTGTAAGACCTGTCCTTAACTTTCAATAATCTTGGGTGCTACGCTGTCAGGTCTTGTCCCCAACCTTCAAACATGTTGGATGATACGCTGCAAGTTCTCGCCCTTGCCGGGCAAAAACAAGAACCATAACAGCAAAAACAAGATTAAGATTCTGGTTAAGATGGATATTTTCCTTCAACCAATCTATTGATGGTCGACTTCAAAACTCTGCAGGGCCTGGTTTATAAAATTTGATATAGGTATGACGATGGAATTCGAACCTCCGCCAGTTAACATATACCTTTTACATCAATGATGAAATGCTCAATACCCAAAGTTATAAGTTATAACACACTCAAAGATGTTTCCCTTATTTCCCTGCATTTTTACTATGCTTTTATGTCTTGAGTTTTACACATACATATACATATATACACATACATATTTGCATATATATTTATATATACATATACATACATATGTATATGCTTATATTTTATGCATATGTGCGCAGATTTGATATATGTATGTATGCCTCGCCTTAATCCTGTAAGATTTACAAAAAGTACCAGAAAAAAATCTGATCGAAATTGAGCAAACCATCATAGATAGATGCAAAGCTTGCAAAAAAACATCAAACATGATGAAAAAACATCGTATTTAAGTGCAGCGGTCGGATGCTGGCATTTTTTCGCTTCGGAAAAATGCTGGAAAAATGAGGTCAGGCGTCTGAAATGCAGACAAAAATCTTACAACAATTGACGTTTTGGCTTCGCCTCGAAGGTGTAGAAGATCCCAATGGATCCTGGCAGCCCGTGATGCATAATATTATATATAATGATATCCCAAAAAATATAAAATTTGAGCCCCGCAGGGGGGGGTGGGGGGTGGGGGGGGTTGGATGTTTTTTTTTGCAATTTTAATGAAATATGAAGAGAAAAATATGATATGGTATAATCATACGATATCGATATAGTTTTAACTTCTCAATCATAATTAGATATCATAATTAGACATGTTTCCAATATGTTTCGTTTTTTTCCTTTATGTCAAGCATTAAGTTCAAACTTTTTTGAATGACTTATCCAGTGGGCGATCTACCCGAAAAAAGTTTGAACTTTTTTTCATTGGGTCCGCGCGCGCCCGCCCCAACAAACTTATTTCTGAATACTTTTGCGCACGCGCGGACCCAAGGAAAAACAATTAAAAGTTTGAGCGCTGGCTGAGTAAGATGACAGTCCTCAACCAAATGACACAAGTCCTGACATCCAAAAAAAACACAATGAGGCAGGCATATATAATTTACACACATATATAGGTACTGGATATGTTGTCGGTGTTGTCTTTCATTTTTAACGACTATTTACTATGTCTTAATTTTTCGCCTGCCAAGCGCAAGGTTTCCAAAACATGTTGCGTGTCACACAGAGAAACAACAATAGGTACGGGAGATAAGATCAGTCCTTGTGACTTATCTCCCGTACCTATTGTTGTTTCATGCATTTTTCTTTTCATTGTTCTAGCCACAAAACTTCGCCAACGAAGATGTATGTGAAAATTTATTTGTTAGTGTTGGTGTCATTGTTTTTGTTTTACTGTTGACCTGGCGTTGACGCTATTATTGCTAACAGAGAAAAAACCAATTAACTGTTGGAAGGATGGGTCGCAGCGCGCCATCCTTACATCAGGGGGAACGTTCCCCCCTGAT